TTTGAAATTGGCTTCGTATCCAAAACCCAAGAAGACCAAGGAGAGCTACACCAAGGCAAAACAAGAAAACAGACTCGACACTCAGCAGCCCACCTACTTCAGTAACTTCAATTGTTCCATTGTAGAATGTATTTTGGTAGGGGTTCTGATCAATTTCATAAACAATAGTCCCCACAAGATCATACGAACCAGGCTGTAAAGAATAGGAAACAATGTAACAAGTTATATTGTGAATCCGGACACTCGCATTACTTGCTTTTTAAGAGGTAACATATCTACACTTCTACAAAAATAAATACCTGTAAGAACTTGCTCAATCCAAATATGTAAGGGAAAGTTGCTTGAGCTGATGAAGGGACTGTTGCATTGTTGAAAGCCTAGTAAATCATCAAGCACACATCATTGAGAAATCCCCGATACATCAAATTAGCCAGAGTCGTATTTTAAAACGGCAGTGCACATCCTATTCATAAGGTACGTGCTACATTTGGTAAAATTAACAAGATTAAAAACATCAGACTATGCTAGCTAATCTCAAAAGTAAAAAAGGCAAACCAACCAACCAACCAGCCACCAACTGATAGAAAAACAGTAAATGCCTTCAAAGAAAGGAAAAACCTATAGGTTTTATTAACACTCACTTCCCGAGTTGGTACCCATAAATACTACAAATCCAGAAGAAAACTTGACAACACAAATAAAAGTAAGCGAGAAAAACCTGGGTGGAGAGATTCTGAAGCAGGTAACGGTGATCAAAAGGAAGATGCACACTAGCCTGGATCGCGATTATATTTATGGTGGATTCTCCTGAAAATTAACATCCAAAACATGACAACTCAAACAAGCGACCACATACATATTTCCCAAAATATAATACACAAAAAAATATATTAACGTACAATAAAAAAACAGATAAAGAGCATCCGGCCAAAGGTCATGCCCGTTATAGACAAATTTGGAAACAATATCCACGGGAAAATGTTAGAAAGAAGATCATTAGCCAAATTAACAAAGTCTCACCCTCATTTTTCAATCCAACTAAAAGTTCACTTTCTTCCCCAGCTCCTATCACTGAGAAAAAATATATAAAATTAAAATAAAGGATTTATTTGAGACAACTGAAACTCAATAGGAGCAACAACAGCTTAATAGACCCATATAGGGCGACAGAGATAAAGCTCACTGTATACAGAGGAAATAACTGGTAACAGAAAAAAAAAAAAAAAANAAAAAAAAAAAAAAAAAACTAACACTTTGCGGGGTTTTTGGGGAAGACGCAAACAGTTTCCACTCCTGGAGCTGGACTAAAGCTTCCTCCACCAAAATCCTGGACATCATCACCAACAATCCCAATGTCTACTACTTCCTCAGACGAATCAACTACTTCTGCATCAGGATCCTGTTCACATCTTGCAACTATATAGCAAAAAAACATCAATAATGATAAAGGGGTTCACATTCCACTACGTAAACTATACAATTTGACTCACTCAATATAGAGAAAATATGCAAAATATTTCAAAAACTAAGATCACGGATGAATACAAAATTTGATTAGAGACTATGCAGTATAATTGGGGATTATACATCAACAATAAGATCCATAAAAAGGTAGCAAATGTTCAGGCTTAGAGAAACTACTATCCAGATAATAAGCTCATATACATTAGGAATTCAAGAAAAAAGGTTATCGATGGTTCAAATCAGCTCATCCATATTTCCACGAGCTATGTAACCAATTCCAGAAGGCCACAAATCATCACCATGAAGTCAAAAACTACAGATCAGAAAACTGAAGAACTGTAGAAAAAGTTGTCAACGCCAAACTAGAGAATATTATAATATTCTATCATAAACAAATCACAGCAAACCAAAAACCACCACTGACATCTGAATTAACAAAACAGAACCCTAATGACAAACCAAAACAGACGCCCGTAAGAAGGGAAAGTGAATCTGATCTATATCATCGGTCATATAGAATACAAGAGAAGCCTGAAATGACGAAAAAACCCATCTAGAGAATAAAAGGGTTTGTCAATATGCATTGATGAAACAGCACAATGTGATCAAATCAACAAAATAACTAACAAAAATTGCCTCGATAAAAAACAGAGTAAATCGAGCTGAAAACGAAATTGATCTGGATCTGTATTTCGAGGTTTACCTTGTAGAAACGATGACGAAAACAGCAGCAGAGTTAGGATAAAAAAAACCCTAATCGCCATTATCGTCTGTGTAGTATTGCTCGTCCCTAACACAAGAAGAGGAGTATGGAGGAGCGTGTAAAAGAGACTCGTGGACTCAGTGTTTTGATTGAACCACAGACAACAAAAGGGAATATCATTTTATGGGCCAAAAAGTCAAAATGTAATATTATTAATATTTTATGAAACTGGTAGTATAACATATGATTCTATGAAAAATATATATATATACAAGTGATAATTTGAAAAAATATATATTTTTAAAAATTTTATTATAATTTATTTATATTAACAATAAGACTTTTCACTTGTCCAGTGCTATTTTATATTATAATAATTTTTATAATTCATAACTAATGAGTCTATAAATACATTTGTAATTGATACATAATTTCATGAGCAAATTTTTTTTACACCCCGACTTAAAGATTACATTAAGTTCTTCACTCCGCTAACTAACAATCTAACCTTTTCTATCCCATAATTTGCGAAAATTATTCGAATGGTTCGCATAACTACCACGTATCAGTCACCTAACTGTCACATATCAGTAGCATAAATGTCGTATATACACATTATAAAAGTGCGAAGGGTTATGCAAATGCATTCGCATTTTGAACTTTCGCGCAATGCCAATCGCATAATTGTTGCATAATTACTGCATAATGCTCACATTTTATGGGGTAAGAAAGTTAAATTTTTATCCAATTGTGTGAAAAACTTATTCATTTTTCAAAGCGGATTGAAAATATAAATTTCCTCTAATTTTATTAATTTTAATTATTATTGTTGACATTGGAACTGACGGTTAGTTAATCATTTTACACGTGGCATGAACTAAATAACCATCCGAGCTGAAGGTGGGCCAAATAAATTAAACCGACCCCATCGACAAACAAAAACCATATCGCCTATCGATGGGAAACTCAGAAACTAGCACAGGACCCGACCTCTTCGCCTTAAGGTCAGTCCATGACCGCGAAGGAAAATCGGTTACTGAAGACAACAACTCGGTGTAAATAGGGATGTAAACGAGCCGAGCGAAACGAGCAAAAAATCGAGCTCGAGCCTTAACGAGTCGATCTCGAGCTTTAACGAGTCGCACTATAAAAATTTATATAAGAATTTTTTTTCGAGCCTTATCGAGCCGAGCTCATCTCGTTAACTAAACGAGCTTTAATTGAGCTCGAGCTCGGCTCGTTAAGGCCTTGAACTCGAGCCTTAACTAGTCAGGCTCGAGTCGAGCCGAGCCAGACTCGTTTAATTTAACAGCGCTAGGTGTAAATCAAGGATCATGGAGGAGACCCGACCTCTTCACCCCATGATGGACCTACAACTATAAAGGAAATGAAGGAGAGCAGCCCGAGGACGAATCAAATTATGTGAAGAGCTCGGCTATCCCACCTCAAGGAGCCGACCAAAATCATTTTAAGATTTATCTCTGACACCACATTTAATATGAACGTGACATATGTCCATCGTACTGACGGGAAACAATCATTAGCGTGGAACTTACCCTGCAAAGCCGCACGTTGCCATCAAATTGCATTAAATGATAACGTGCGGGCCTCGAGAACTGTATATGTGGGTCTCATAGTAAGAATACCCTTCATTTATTGTAAGAACAGTAGATTTCAATCTCTCTCTCAATAGCAATAATAATTGTATTAAAGAACCTAGTTGTTTTGCTATATAAAATTTGGGTCATCCAACCTCATTTGCTATTAAATATATACTAGTACGAATCCCGTGCGATGCACGGATAAGAAATATTCATTAATATTTATAAATTATAAATTTTCATTAAATAATATTTATTAAATTAGAAATATGAAATCAATATATAATACAATTTACCTATATTAATTTGTTGAAAATGTTATATCAAACTTAAATTGTACAAAATTATATAAAACATATCTATTTAAAATTAGTACACGACCCGTACAGTGCAAATGTAAATTTTTATGGTCTAACTATTTCCTTAATTATTCACGATTTGAGCAATTAAATACACAAAAAATCAATAATATTTATTAAAAATTTCACAAAAGAATTACACTAAAAATATAAAACATTTATTAAATAATAAATTATACAATTTGGTTGAAATTTTTTACACCAAATCACATAATTGATATTGCAGCCGAAATTTCAATATTTGGGTAAATCAGTCAATTCACATGATTTGAGTAATTAAGGTATCTTAAAAATGAATTTACTATAAGTGACTATTTGAAATGTACCATAAATTGTTAAATTAATTTGAATAGTTAAGGTATCTTAAAAATGTATTTTTATATGGCTTAATTATTTTCTTAAATAATGAGCTGCAATTTTCATAACTGATTATTTAAAATATACCCTATTATAAGACAATATTCCAATAGGGCTTTAAATTTTTTGACAATATTTATTGAATTGATCAAACCATTAATGAGTAACATTTAATATAGAATGGGAGGGAAAACAAAAATATTTCCAGCTACTTTGCCTTTTTAGTGTGCAAATTATCTACAAAATTTAATGTACAATTACAATTTAACATTTCCAATGTGACAAATTATCCTTCTTATTTTCCAAGAAGCATAGGCCATTACCCAAAATTGCAATCAATACATAAGTTAATTAATAACTACAATACACATTCCAAGTTTAGACAATATCTTAAATAACGTGAAAGTAAATTATCCTACAATTAATACAATAATTAATGTAAATTTGAGCGGGAAATTGGCAGCTGTTCCGCTTTAATATATACTAGTACAATTCCCGTGTATTACACGGGTGTTGAATTAGAAAGTTTTTGTAAAAATATTAAATTTTTTATTTTTTTAAAAACTAAAATAATTTAATTTTATATAAAAAATTACTTTTGAATTTAGTTAAATTGTCAAATTATATTTTTTTAATCATAATAATTAAACACCCGTACATTAAATGAAAATGTCAACCCGTGTTGAATTTTTTCACTTATATTATATAAAAATATCGATATTATTTACTATTACATAAGTATAAAAATATATATCTTAAATAGATAGAAATAATATGGTGATATGTATATGCGTGTATAATATGTTTATTTAATATTAAGTAAAATAGATTAATTTTTTTACTTAATTAGATGCCTAATACATTAACTGTCGTATCAATAAATTTTCTACCTTATAACATATAACTACATTAAACATAAATATATTAATTGATAAATAATTTTATTTTCTAATAATTTTAATAAATAATTTTATTATTATTATAAAGATAAATATAATTTATTTATTTTATATATACAATATGGATGTCAAATCGAAGCTCATCAAAAGATGATTAATTTGATATATTATATATGTAAAACCGATAAGAAATACAAAAGTTATCAACTTTTAAAATATATATACAATTCAATGGTTATAATAGGAAATGATATTAAAATAGAATAATACAAATATTAATTTATATCCAAGCCTAACTCCAAAGCATAATTTTTTGCCAAATAAGATTCTGAAGCATGAGAGTTTGCCACGTAGGCTCAGCGCATTCTCAAATTATATAAAGAGGGGATTTTTACTTAGAAAATTCTCTAAACCCGTTGGTACGTACTTTTGTATAACAACACAACATATTAATATGTAAATTAAATTCATAAAAAAAATATTATTAATAAATTAAATTGCAATAAAAGGGTACATAATTGTAAATTTTATTTTAACCTATCACCTAAATTGAAATTCAACAAAACCATCATTGGGCTTTCTAGCCCAATAGTTATATTATTTCCCTCTCCCTCGATTATTTGCTTGCTTGCTTCCCCAAATTCCACAATCGACCGAAAAAAAGAAATCACAAATGAATTCTCAATTCTTATACAGAACGTGAATCAATTCTTAGAGCACCTGCATTGGTGCTTTAATGCACCTCATTTAAATGCCTCAATATCTATTCAACCACTGCACACGTTCATTTAATTGTGGGACCAATGTATCCGTCTCTTAAAGGCTCTTTTGAGCCTTTTTATTTTATTTTTTTTAATTCAACTGCGGTTTTTATTATTATTTTTTTATTTATATTTTTTATCCTTATTTTGTTTTGCCTATAAATACACTTCATACTTACACTTCTTTTACACAAAAAATTTAACACTTTTCTAAAAAAAAAAATTAGGTTATTTTGGTCTTGCAGTGTTTTTTTATTTTCATGCATTTAAAATTTATTATTATAATTTAAAAATATAAAATTTTAATTTTTATTGAGAATAAAATATTAAAATTTATATTGAATGAATGGATATAATGGGTTCCGTATTTATATTTAAATAAATGTGTAGGGATGTATGTGTTTAAATAGAGAGAGAATTAGTGGAAAGATAATGTGGAGATAACGTGGAAGACAGAGTGAATGGGAAAAAAATTAACCAATACGGATGCCCTTATTTGTTAACCAGATGTCACTATCAATTTCTCAAAATTCTATCTTTCTTCTTCACCTGATTCAGGGATTAATTATTCTCATCACAAATTGTGCGTTTTCTCCTCGACTGAAGCATGGAAGCAGAAGTAATAGACTCCATTACCGCCAGAAAAGTTCAGAAAGCTGACCGTGAGAAGTTGAGGAGGGACCGCCTGAACGAGCACTTCATGGAGTTGGGCAACACGCTCGGTAATTTTTCACCTGATTTGTTCATCACTGTGTTATTACATATCTTTGATTTTGCTGGTGTTGTGAAGTATCATGGACTGTAAGAAGTAGCTGTGTCATCTCATCTTAGAACAGGTGTAAATGGGCTCGGGCTCGGGCTCGGTCTTGGTAAATTTTCCTCTGACTTGTGTGCATAGCTGAATTTTTACATATCATTGATTTTTGCTGGTGTTGAAAAGTATGTATCGACTGTAAGAACTTGCCAGTTGCTTTGTCATCTCATTTTAGAACAGGTGTACATAAACCGAACCAAGCTCGAGCTCCTGATATTCGAGCCCAAGCTCTGCTTGTTAACTAAACGAGAGCTTTGATTGTTTATTAATATTAACAAGCCGAACTCGAGCTGAGCTCGAACAATAACAAGTCAAACTATAGAAAATCACATGAAAATCCCTAATACGAGTCTTAACTAGCTGGGCTGAGCTCTCGAGGGTCTCGTTTTGTTTAATAGCTCCTAGAACCCGGTGATTGCTTTTAATATGGGGAACTAAAATAGAGCTAAATTTTATGTATTAACTAAAAGTAGGGGAAAAAAGGGTTTATACTTATTGGTTAATGTTCTTGTGTAAGGGACTTGAAGTCCCTGAGCTACACTAGATAACTGCTCCCTCTCTTGAGAGTTACATTATCACTGATTATCTGCATATTCTTTTGAACGTCGTGATGTTCATTTTACACTCTGAATAATCTGTGAGCATGTGGCTAAGTTGCCTTGGTATGTGGGAAATGTAGAATTATCGTAAGTGAAGTGTTGGCATTGCTTGCAGACCCGGACAGACCGAAAAATGACAAAGCTTCCATTCTAACCGACACGATTCTAATGCTGAAGGACTTGACTTCGCAAGTCGACAGACTGAAATCCGAATATGCAGCACTTAACGAAGAATTCCGTGAGGTGAACTTTTAGAAAAGCTCCTCATTAGATTGAAGTCAATTTGTAAAGAACTAAACAAGATTTCACCTTTTTGTTGTTCTTCTTTTGAGCAGCTGATTCAAGAGAACAATGACAAATTTGTAAGCAACTGAACAAGATTTCACCTTACTTTGTTCTTCTTTGAGCAGCTGATTCAAGAGAACAATGACAAATTTGTAAGCAACTAAACAAGATTTCACCTTACTTTGTTCTTCTTTGAGCAGCCGATTCAAGATAATAATGGTCCTAGCCCATAAGCTAGCTTATACCTTTTAAGTGAATCTCGAGCTTATAACTTATGACTTATAGTTGAAAAGCTAGCTTATATGTTAAAAAGTGTTTGGTAAAATTAGCTGATAAACTAGCTGAAATAAAAATTTCAACGAGCTTATTGAAAAAGCTACCCAAAGAAGTTTATGAGATAAGCTCGAGCATTTTAAAAAAGCTCGCCCTACCAAATAAAGCTTATTTGAATACAGGAAGCTTATAAGCTAACCAAATAAGCTATAAGCTAACTTATTTGGTTACCAAGCATAGCCAATGACAAAATTTGTAAACAACTAAACTAGATTTCACCTTTTTTTGTTCTTTGTTTGAGCAGCTGATTCAAGAGAAGAACGATCTCCGAGAAGAAAAGGATTCTCTCAAATCCGATATTGAGAACCTCAATGCACAGTACTCTCATAGAATGCGAGCCATGTACCCGTGGGCTGGGATGGATCACTCGGTCGTCATGCATTCGTCCACTTATCCATATCCTGTGCCTATGCCCATAACCATGCCAGCTGGCCCAATCCCTTTGCACCCGTCTCTACAGCCTTACCCGTATTACAATAACCAAAACCCGCCCGTCGTTCATAATCCGTGCTCCACTTACATCCCGTACGTGGCTAATAATGCCGTGACTGAACATCACTCGACTCAGCATGCCGTGCCACAAAGTAACAATAGGTCCAATGGTTTGGGCAAACAGGGCCCAAGGTATAAAAATTATGATGGGGAGAGTAGAATAGAGAAAAGTGATGACTCGAATGACATCACTACGGATCTAGAGCTTAAAACGCCTGGATCTACATCCGAACAGGTGAATATAATAAGCCACATACAAGATTTAAATTAAAAAAAAAAAGGGAAAAAAAAAAAAGAGAGTGAGAAGAAATAGTTTCCGTTTACTCGACAAGATTTTTTTTTGCCAGATTCCCATTAGCTTATGAAACTTTGTTGAAAATAAACTGTAACATGCTCAAAAGGTGAAAGTCAAATTCAATCATCTTTAGAAAATATAAAATCATCTCAAATCAGCTGTTATCATTACATTATTAGTTCACGGCTCACCTTTCCGGTGACCAGTCATATCATGTCAGTATCATGGTTGCATTTCCATCTTGTATTCAAAACACTCGTGACTGAGTCATTTTTCCATTATTTTATTTTGTTTTCCTTTGTTTAAATTTTCTCTCTTTAAACCATTGAACTAACTATGTTATTGATGTTATTGGTGTGCAGGATTCCTTGAAGCAAAAGAAAGCCAAAAAAATTAAGGAAGTCGCCATTACAGATGCAAGCTCTTCGAGTGCGTGTTCCTCAGCTCAAGGCATGCAGACAATCTCGTCCAACAGTGTCGTTGGTGGCAAAACAACAGATAACTGACAAAGGAAAAAAAGGATCTTTTGTTGTAAGCACTCACAATATTTTGTATCTATATTAAATATATAGCCTTTCTTGATTAGGGCATCATTTTTATTTTTTTTTACCACGTGCTATGATTGCTCTATGATTGCTGATGTACTGAACTAGCTCACTCCCGAGCTTGTTTAGTTCCACTCATTTGAGACTTTTCTGGGGCAGAAAAGGAGTCTGAATATTTTTATGATAATTAATCTATGCTGACATGATAATAGTAACAGTATTTGATAATTGCAATTTTATGTTCTATGTTTGTTGAATAATGGTATTCTGACCTCTTAATTTCTTACACTATAAACTTGGTAATTCAAGGATCTATTAAGGGGGGAAATGGTGACTCGATTCCCACATTGTTGAGTGAGTTTGTACGCTGTTCCATATCATTTGTTCTCTGGAGGTTATATCCAAAGTTTTAATGGATTGGATTCTAGTGCCCATCTTGCTCGTCATTTTCATGCAGTCGGGTCTACATTCCGGTGAGGTGTGGTGGCTTGGCTGGTGGTCTCACAGCCATTCCACCAATGAATTGAATCAAGAACTGGAAAATTTTGCTGTAAAGAACAAATAGAACAAGAAGAATTACCCACATACTTTTCTGATTTTATCCTGCCAAAAATTATATTATTGTATTGTATGTTAGTTTTTAAAAAGTTTCCATACTGTAGTGTTTTGGCCTTTGGGTAAGTTCAGTTCGATTATAGTTCAAAATTAAAAAACAGAGACAAGGAGAATTTCTCTATTCCAAGATTGTGTTTGGTAGGAGAATTTCTTTATTCCAAGATTGTGTTTGGTATAAGTTAGATTATAGCTTATAGGTTTTTTTGTATTTAAATAAGTTTGGTTTGGTATGACGAGTTTTTCAACTATTAGCCATAAGCTATAAGTTATAACTTAATAGCTATCGGCTAACTTATCAGTTAGGTTTGTCAAACATGGTCTAAAATTAACTAAAAAAGGATCTAAAGTAAAACACCTTCAATCCGGTCCACTGGTACTCTAGTCGTCCCTTGAACCGCTCCGGTTACCAACAAAACATTGTCGGGGGTATCCCAACATAGATTTTCCGACACTCACGTTAGAACACTCATAGTTTCTAAACACGGCATGAGAATCGACCCGAGCACCTAGGTCACCGGATCATCGGTTCAACCTTCAAGTCACTAGGTCAATTGCTGAAGCAGATAATTAATTTTAATTTTTTTAGATATCTATATAGTATTTTTATCGTATAAATATACATAAAAGTAACATAAATAACTATCTAGTATGTATATTTTATATATCAAATTGTTAATAATATTGTCTCACACGATAAATATTTATCATATAAAATATATACATACTTTTTTATATTAAAAAACAAACTAAAACATATTTTGACCGGGTCAATCGGGTAGACCCAGTTGGGTTGATGTTCGAGTCATTCGGGTCAAGGTTGAGTTGACCAGGTTTGATGTTGCCTGATCCAAAGTATCCGCTCGAACCTGTATCGACTCCGAATCGATTGGGTCTCTGGTTAACCCGTCAGATCAGTCCGAATTTAAAAAGTACTAGTATAATACCCGTGTACTACACGAGTATTGAGTTAAGAAATATATAATAAATGTTATTGCTGAAATAAATTTTTTATTTAAACATTTTGTGGACTAATTGAGAAAAAAAAAAAGGAATAGATAGTGCAACAAGTGATATTTAAATCGTAATTTAGGAGAGAAATATGAGAGAAAATTATAATATGATAAGATTGTTACTTGCCCAAACTAACAAGGAAATGTGTACTAAGAGAAAAAATTAACAAAATTAAATATATACTTACCAAGTTTGAAAAAAATTATTTATGTCTAATACCAAGCCTAACTCCAAAGTAACAATGAATATATAAATAACATTACGAAGCATAGATTTTTGTCATGTCAGCATCCGAAACGTAAGAGGATTTTACTTAAGCTCAACATGTTTTAAATTAATATATAGGGAGAGATGATAATGAATGACATAAATGATGTGTAAGAATAGGATTTGTTAGAGCATCTCCAATGTGACTTTTGACATTATAAAAAGTCATCCATATCATCAACTTTTGAAAGTGTGTTACTATTTTTTTCTCCAATGCATCTTGTCATAAACTCTTTCATGATGAGGTGGATGTCATTTAATGTTGACAATGTTGAGCACACTTTCTAATATCTAACACCATGTTAACCATAATGATTCATCAATTTACTTTATATTTGTTTTAATTTTTTATTTTTTCTTGTATCAATGAATTGTTTTATTGGTCCACCAATACAAATAACTTCTTATCAAATTTATGCATTGAAGATATTAATTTCATTCAAATTTCTAGTCTTTTAACATTATTCCAATGTGGATTAACATTACAATCACTAATTGACATGTGTTAAAAATAATGGTATTTCAAACTCATAACATTGGAGATGCTCTTAGGGGTGATCTCGGTCTGAGACAACCCGAGATTTCGCTTGTCCCATTTTTATGAATTGGTCCAAGACGAGACATTGTCCTAAATATATCGGTATTTATTCAGGATCGGGACAGAACGGTTCGATACCATATTGATTTGAATAAAAAAAATGTTTGTTTTTCGGTAAAAGACTAAAACGAAATCATCAAATATTTATCACGATTACATTACTTTTTTGCCAATTCACCCAAAACAAAACCAATGTTGCTTTCTGCCATTTGAACAAGTCACCAACGTAAACATCTATTTTCTAAAAGGGTTAGACAACAAGTCACCAACGTAAACATCTATTTTCTAAAAGGGTTAGACAACAAGTCACCAACGTAAACATCTATTTTATAAGGGTTAGACCAGTTAGTGTATTTGTTTTGGGCTAATTTAGTACATTGTGCCTTATATTTTAGAATTAGAATGGATTCCTATAATATAAAATATAATACTAATGTGTTATATACATATACATATATATATATATATAATTTTTTGAACCAAGATAATTTAAACGGACAAACAATACAGTTCATGATAAATCTTTAAATTGAAACCGACATTATTTAAAACGGTTTGATATCGAAAACGAAATAAAGAAAATCTTTATGAACTTTATTTTTCGAAATAGGGCACTTCAATCCAATTTGGTGTGAAAAAAATTATGCATTTGATTTTAAAATTGATATCATCATCATCATATCCCTGCCCCCCTCTTAATGTGGAGGCAACACGTGTGCGGTTAACTACCCACCAACTTTTCTGCACATAACCTGCATTATTCAATTCCCAAAGCAATTTCTCATCCCGTCAATTTTATTTTATTTTTTTTTTTCTGCACACACAGCAAAAAACTCCAAGCCCAACAAGAAAAATATCTATGTGACGTTTCGTCTATCTTCTCTGCCCGCTTCCCGTGAATTGTGTGTTACAGCTCACATATTTACTCACTCACTCACTCACTCACTCACTCACACACAAACACTCATAAATGCTTTTGCGGTGTGTTATGCGTGTACATGTGCCAGCAAACATGGCCATCGAAGACGATACATGTACGTGCTCTCGATTGATATATTCCTGGACCCTTTTCGATAATTTGTTCATCGAAGTTTAATCCACCAATTTTTGTGTTTTTTTGTTTTTATTTGTAATTTTTTCTCCTTGTTACATATGATTATTTGATTTGCTTGTCTTCCGAAGGTCCCCCGACACGGATTCATACATGTAAGTGATACGAATGTGTTGTTTTTGAATGATTTTTATACCGTGTTTTGATTCACTGGCTGGTTGATTAATTAGTCTTCTTAGTTTTGATTTTTGCTTGTGTGGGTGCACTTTTGCTTGGTTGTTGTCCATTTTAGGTGATGGTCTTTTTTCCTTGTATGATTTAATTTTTAATTTCGTGTTTTTTGGTGTTGATATGTGTAGAGATTATTGAGAAATGGGGAATTCTTGAAGTTATTTTTCCATTGTAATTACTGTTCTCTTGTTTGCTGCTGATTTGTTTACAAAGTAAAATCAGGTTATGGTATTTCTCTTAGTGTGTGGTAAGCAATTAAGCTTGTAATATGATCTATAATCCTTCACTCCACTGCTCTGTGTGTGNNNNGATAACGAATTGTGTTTATTCGGCTACTTGTTAATTATCATGGCATATGCAGTGTCGATGAATGAATTTCATCAGTCAGTTTACATTGCTGTTATCCAAACATTCAGTGAACCAAATGATTTAAATGTATCCTTTCCTTTTGGCTAGTGCAGATTGCTGATAAACTCACTTTCACCAGTTTAGTTACATTCCCATTCTAAAACAAATCCCAAAAGAGAATGTCTACACTAACAGTAGACGTGCCACAAAACGGTTACATCAAGAATGCTGACTCATCTAGCAGCATAGCCGAGTTGGAAGAATACAATTTCTCAAAATTCCAAAATCGTCCCCGAAGCCTGAATCTTGAAAAACAGAAATCATGTGATGAAAGGTCTCTCTCAGATTTGCCATTGGGATTATCACCTCATCCTCCTTCAAGGGCCGATACCTTCTATCGAGCCTTCGACCATTTGGTTGGTATTTCTTCACCTTGCAAGAGATCCGGTTTTAATACACCGAGTTCACAGTTTGGATATGGGCAGAATATATATGAGACTCACCCAATGGTGGCTGAGGCTTGGGACAATATAAGAAGGTCGATGGTTTACTTTCGTGGCCGGCCAGTTGGGACTATAGCTGCTCTGGATAACTCGGATGAAAAGCTTAATTATGATCAGGTGAAGGCCCAAAATTGAAGCTATAATCAAAATACTAATTGAATGTGTTGTGTTCTGTATTAGTGTGATTTGTTGTGTGGTGGATAGTGAGTCACTGATGGCAATATAGTGTGTGTTAGTGTTCAGTTAGATTTTAAGTCTGCTGGATTAGAGGTGTTGAGTAATTTTTTAGTATTTCTGCGGATAAATGCAGTTATAGATACTTTAGTGCTCTTAGAATTTGTTTCTTAAAATTTAACAACCTCTTTTATCACCGATTAAATGAATGGTAATTGTCTAAGTCATGTCATAATTTCTTTGAGTGATTTTCAGCTTTAGCAAGGAGTTTGACCACATTTATAGAGTCTTGAAAAGAACAGCTAGGAAGTGATGAAGGGTTACCTTTTTCTTTTTCTTTTTAATCCAATCTGAAAATGCCCTTTAATGTAGCTTTATTTAACTTAGATGTTAGTTTTCTGGAGCACAATGCATATTATTAATTTAGGTTAATACTTGAGCTCTCTAATCCCAAGTTTAAATCCAGCAGAACGCAGCCATTCTGTTATCTGAATGTACTTTATCTCATGGACTAATCTGATACTTGTAATCTCGGATAAAAGCTTATTTTCTTGATCTTGTGAGGACTTTTTTTAATCTAAAAAAGAAATTGTGACCAGCTGGATTACTTCATGCAGTTTTTTTTAAGCTCTTAACTGGTACAGGTATTTTTGAGAGATTTTGTTCCTAGTGCATTGGCATTCCTTATGAACGGAGAACCAGAAGTCGTGAAGAATTTTCTCTTAAAAACTCTTCGCCTTCAGTCATGGGAAAAGAAAATCGACCGATTCCAGTTGGGCGAAGGTGTTATGCCAGCCAGTTTCAAAGTGTTGCACGACCCAGTAAGGAATACCGAGACATTAGTGGCCGATTTTGGCGAGAGTGCAATCGGCAGAGTGGCCCCTGTTGATTCTGGATTCTGGTGGATTATTTTACTAAGGGCGTATACAAAATCAACTGGGGACACTTCTTTAGCCGAGATGCCTGAATGCCAGAAGGGTATGAGGCTGATTCTCAGTTTATGCCTCTCTGAAGGATTTGACACATTCCCCACACTTCTTTGTGCTGATGGGTGCTGTATGATTGATCGTAGGATGGTGAGTTTTTACCTTTT